CGACTCGACGTGGATGGGGACAGCATCGCGCTAAAGTTTACTACTTTTCGGGGCCGAAAAACCCATGAAAACCCGGAGAAAATGAGAAAATACGCCGCTCATCGAATACATTAGCTATAACCCGGCGGTGGCCATTAATAAGAAATTTATATTCCTCTTTTTTTCCGTGGCTGGTTGGGGCAGCACGTAAAAAAATTGTGTGGCTGGAAGGGACCCTGCTCGGAACACAATGGCCGGACCCAAATCCCGAAAAACAATGGGTCAATAGGTGCCATTTTGGTATGATGCGAGTCGGGTTGTTCTTATCAAGAAAAACTCCTCTAAATAAAGCTGCCTGTTGACCGCCTACGAGATTTGGGGGAAAGTTTTTGATCCTCTTAAATGCAGGTACAAGTCTGGACTGGGAATTTGTAGTTTTGGGTCGAGGGATTTTTGCTATAGAAATGACCTGAAAGTCGGGATTAGCAAATGTCGGTTGGAGGGATTTAGGGTGTGTAGCGATGGATTTTGGCTTCCAGGTCGCTTTAAAATTGGAATAAGGTTCTTGTGCATTTTCGGGGGGCTCAGGATCAAATTTTCCTAATATTAACAGAGGCGTTGTTTCTAAATTGTCTTTTTTTATTATTCTTAAACGTACAAACGAAAATTACAAATTTTGTTAAAAATATAAAATATCGAATTTTCGACGAAAATGGTCAATTTTCGGCTTTTTTCTAATAAACTAAAGTGCTAAAACCATTTTTCTAAGCCAGAGGAACGATTGATAAGCGAGCTTTTTACTATTCTTTAAGCGTAAAAACTTTACAAATTTTTTTTGTTTAAAAAATACAAAAACACCGGATTCCCGGCCAAAATTCCTAAAATTTCCAAGTTTTTAGATGGTTTTCCACCTCAAAACCCTAATAAAACACGTTCTAGTAGTCTTTAATAGGGATTTCTAGACTCTTATTGTTGGGAAAAAATTATCTCCCACCCCCGATAATGCACAAGTACCAAAGTCTAAACACCAAGCTAAGCCGAAGATCAAGAATTAAAAAGCCAGACGACCGCTTCAAAAAACATCAAATCCACGTTCGAAAACCAACATCCCTTTCGCATGGCCCTTTATATAGCACCCGAAATACCGTAGACGGTGTGAGCAAAGATGGATTATTAGCGGTTGAGGGGCCGCTTTCTTTCCGGGGAATTCCCCGTCCACCCTCATCCCCATTTTCACAGTCCGCTAGGCAGCACCTCAAATTTCGTCAAATCCACGGCGGTGGCCCGGCGGTGGGCCATTGACGCTTGCTTTGGAAATAACAGCGTTGACCTCACGTCGCTGACCTATAGGGGGGAACTGAAAGGCCCAAAAGTTGATGTCAAATTGATCTATTTTTCGTCGGACCGGATTCGAAATGCCGAAGATCACGAAACCAACTTCGAAAACTCCGACAGCTCGTGATAGCGAATTCGAAAAGCTGAAATTCGTAAACCCCGGCAGCTCAAAAACCGAATTTCATAATGCCGAATGCCAAAATCGCGAGTCTCGGAACCCCGAATGATAATAATCGCGAGTTCCAAAACACCGACAGCTAAAAAAACCGAATTTCATAATGCCGAATACAAGAATCCAGAATTACACAAAACTTGACCAGAATCGGAATGCTGATAATACCGAAATTGAAACCGAGAATTCGATAATACCGAATCTGAAAAAGCCGAATATCAAAACCCCTACTTCCAGAATACCGGCTTCCAGGATCCTGAATTCCAAAACCCCATCAGCTCAAAATACCGAGTTCCATCAGGCCGAAATCCCAAAGCCCGAATTCCAAAGTCCCGAACGCTGATAATACCGCAATTGAAACCGGGGATTGGATAATACCGAATCTCAGAATGCCAAATTAATTCCTAAACCCCGAAATCTCAAAATTCCGAATTTAATAATACAAAAGCCCAAAAACCCGACAGCTCAAAATCCCGAATTCCATAATCCCGAATTCCATAGTACCGAATATCGTTTTTTTGCCGGCGATGTTCCATTTTTGATGCGCTAAGTTTAATCCGACTTAAATGTTTTAAAATTCGGTATTATCGAATTCGGTATTTTCCAATGCGGGATTATGGCCTTCGGTGTTTCGAAATTCGGTATCATAGAAATCCGGATTATGAAAATTTAGAGTTTCCAACCGGGATTTTATTATTAGGATTTTCGGATTCGACTTTATCGTTTTCGGATTAGAAACTACCCACTTTTCGCTAGCTAGAGCCTATTTCAGCACTGCCGCGGTTCTTCCGCGTTCCCCAGACACCCGGGGCATTTCAACCTTTACCCCCCCCGAAATATTTCTATTTGCCAACGATCTAAGAGTTTCTGCCGGCGGTCCAGAAATAAAAAAGAAATAGCGGGAGCTTCAATGAGGACCAGATAATCACGTAGATGGAGCTGCTCCAGCCAGGGGTAGGCTGGGTAAACAAGAAATTCGCAAACCCGCAAATTACACCCCTGCGCGCCGCAATTCCGACAAAACAAGACACGCTTTTTTTTTATTCGAGGGTGCAGTCGCGCCAAAAAGATTGGTGGGTATTTGGAAAAAGGGGGCCAAGGTACTGGGCTGTTAACGGGGGGTGGGGGGGTCAAGGCTGTAATAATTCCCAATTTTTTTAATTTTCTAAAAATGTTTTTATGACTTTTAATGATCAAAAAAATCGCGGGACATTTTGGGAGGCCGCTTGCGGCCAAATACCCCCCCCGCTAACAGACCAGTTACCTGGGGACGTGGAATTAGAAAGAATTTTTTGCGTCAAGTATTTGCGCATGAAAGCACTATCCCAAAATCGAGAAGCCCGCCTCCCGGCCATAATAAGGAGCGCGGCAGCGTGTGATGGCCATTGAGCATTACATTGCAAATATAACACATATAAAATAAGATCAGGAACGGGAAAATTGGAGCTTTGGCATTATCGGGGGGGGGGATTCTCCTAAATCCGGGATATTACCACTAAACCACTAGCAAGTATTTGAATAAACGTTTTAGTAGCGTTTTTAGTAAAAAATCAACAAATTCCAAGTCAAAAATTATCTAGAAACTAACTAAAAATCTTTTAAACTTTGTAATTTTTGTCAAAAATCGTCCCTTTTGCTGGAAAGTCGATATTTTTGTAGTTTACCAAACGAAATTTGTAAAGTTTTGGCATGATTAAATGTAGATGACTCTTAAATAATAATAGAGAAATGGATCTTATAAAAAAGTCCCCACCCCCACCGATAATAAAAAAGCTCCGGAAGCTGAGTGGCGGGTGAGCACGATGTACAAAATCTAAAAAGAAAGGTAACCAATCCAGTTTTCGAAATTTCCAAAAATCCTTATTTTCGAAAATCATTGATCGGGTGGCCTCTCTATCAAAACCCCCGCCTGATTTCTGGGGTGTTATTTTCGTGCGTGTATTTGAATGGAGCGGGGAGCAAAGGTGCGCGAGTTCTCTGCTCACCCAGATTTCATCCCCTGGCACGGGGGTGGAATACACATACACACACGCCGCGCGCCCTGCGCCCGGGTAATCTGAAGAGGGCAACCGGCAACCCCTTCGTGACTCGCTTATTTTTCTGAATATTTTATCAACCATCTTTTTTTAGGGCAACAAATATACCCGAAAGTCAACCAATCGGGGCTACGTCAGTGTTTTTTTCGTGAGTGGATAAAATGGGGGTGGGGGAACAGTGGGAAAAGATAAGAGGGTTAGAGCAAAGGAAATAACACAGGCGACGGTTCTTTGGCATTATCGGGGGGGGTACTATCACACTGTATAGTAACGTACTAGCCTGTACATCATTTAAAATTTCCCCCTCAAAAAACCATCCAAAAACTTTTAAAATGGAAAATTTTGGTTGAAAATTGGCCAATGTGGTCAAAAAACGTATTTTTATCGTTAATACAAAGTTCTAAAGTCTTTACGTTACGGTATTTCAAAAATAGCTCAGAACATCTTTCCCTTTTCATAATAGAACAGTGATCCTCAGGGAAACCCCCCCCCCGATAATGCCAAAGCACCCAAGAAACGTAAACGAGTTGTGGTTTTCTTCAGGTCAAAATCTAAAAATATAAACATACAGGATATCTACAGGACACGGTGGGGATTAATATTTAAAAGTCCTCGCTACGGGACGGGAATAAGAAGAAGCTGTGGTAGCAGCAGGGGCATAGGACGTATTCGTGGTGGCCATCGACGGGCCGCGCTGAACGGCCCGGTAGGCGGCCGACGCCGACGACGAGGTGATGACGGGCCGGGGAGCCGGAGCCTGGCCTCCTGCTCCGCTACCTCCTCCTCCTCCTGCTCCAGCGGCATTTCCGGTGGCGGGCAGCACACGACGCATGGGTGGCCTCTGCTCACCGACGAATTGCTGAAAGAGCGAGAGGGTTGTCAAATTTCCGCTTCAACTTCCGTATTTTTTTCGGGGGAGGGCGACCCCCGGGGCCAACTCGACTAGAAGCTATCGCAAACACTTTCCAGTCCATTACCACGATTTCGGGGGAAGAGGAAAGTCTAACTTTTGGCTGGTGTTTGAATTCGGAATCGGGGGCCAAAAACAAAGGAAATTTGGTTGCAAGAGAAGACGAACGCAATTCTAAATAGGGCCGTGGAGTTCAAGACGTTTTCGGTTCCAAAGGGTTCAAAAACAGGGTTAGGCCCCCAAAATCGGGAAAATTCTGTCGAAAATCACTTTTCGAAAAATAGCATGTCGAAAAACATGCAGTGCTATTTCTGCATTTTTGTTATCTTTTCCGATTAGAAGCTCGAGAAGCGCTTTTTTTAACGAATGCTTTAAAAAAATGTAAAGATATCACAATAAAAATTAAATAATCTAAAAATGATAGGTTTCTCAAATTTTTTCGAAAAAGCTTTTTTGAACCCTATTTCAAAAATGTGTCGATTTAATTAATTTTAATTTATTCAAAATAGTATGGACATCGAAAATCCTATGAACCCGCTAATCACCCCAACTGCATAAAATCAAACTACCGTACCCTGGTCAACGTCCTCACGGCGGCCCCTCCTCCACGCCCGACCGGACGGTACGTGATCTTCGTCGTTTTCTTGGGCCCGGGCTGGACGGTTTGGACGGAGATACGATCTGAGATGGCGATAGAAACGTAGTGGAGTCGGCTCTACCTGTGATCATCTTCTTCAGCGGCGTCACATTGTACTGGCGTAGCATTGGCATCGGCTGGCGACGGACCGAAAATTGCGGGTCGTCCATGCGGCGAACAAAGTTGTCGACCCTAAGAGATCAGAGATTGTCACCAAAATCGCGGCTTCAAACCTGGGCCAAAAGACGCGATTGTAGTACTCGATAATGTTCACTTTTTCACTGTTCACGATGGATTGCCGGGTCTCGATCGCATGCTAAAAATATGAATGACTCGTTGTCGCGGGTAAAATTTACCATTAGCGCTTCGTTGGGCTTGACAAGGAATTGGCTGAGCACATCATCGAGCGGTCTAAACGAACGCATACAAAATTCATTTTGACAAGGAAAAATGCAAATAAATGGCGCTTTGGCATTATCGGGGGGGGGTAGGATAAAATGTTTTCCTATCTATTTTCTCTATACCCCATATTTCCTAGTTTCCTACTGGTTGAAAAAAAAAAAAAAAAAAAGAAAAAAAAAAAAAAAAAAAAAGATACTTTTTGGCGATATTTTTATATTTACAAAAAAATTTATGCATTTTTATACATTAAAATAGTGGACAACTATATCCAAATACACCCCGATTTGTCTTATAAATCTGAGAAATCTAGGAAAAGGTCTTGCCCCCCCGATAATGCGAAAGAACCATTTTCAACTTTGAATTTTTCTAGAAAACTCACACTTCCGTCTCGACGGTCACATAGCGAAATACGCGCTCCTGGGCGCTCGGCAGCGAGCGGTACGTCTCCATTATCTTGTTGAACGTGATCTCCAGGTTCAGCACCTTTCCAATTATATACCTGAAATTCGGGGGCGTGAAAAGCGGATTACAGGACTCACACAGCGCACATCAGATTCTGGTCCAAATGCCGGCCAGCCAGCAGGTTCGTCTCCGTCTTCAGGATGTACTCGAACAGGGTCCAGACCTGAAAAAAAACGTTTTAAAGGTATTGGAAGACCCCCCTACCCGACTCTTCGCCTGTTCATTCAAATTCAACCGCTCGCAAATGTCCACCAGGCGGTTTGAGGCGATAAAATAGAGCTAAAAATGACGAATTTGCATAAAATTACAAACAGCTGAATACCTTTCTGAAGAAATTATTCATAGCTTTGCTGGACGGTACGCCATCTTCTTCGGTTCTAAAAGATGGGTAGGGCGGTTACTTTCAAAATGGCGAAAATCGTTACGCCGCAATTCTTAATGTCGAAATTTATATAAGCGAATTTCCCGGAAAACCACCGAATCCTATACAAAAAAATTCCCGGTTCTGAATTTCGAGTTTATAAAATTTCGACATTATGATTTTCATTTAATTTAATTTAATTTTAATTGATTATGATAGCAAATCGCGTAAGCGCATTAAAGTTAGCAATAATAATAGTACCTCATCCGCTTCGCCGGAGAATAGAACTCGCTGCGCATCTCGCCGGACCACACCGTGTTGCAGCTCGGGATCGCTGAAAACGGCAATGAAAATGAAAATGAAGATGAAAATTCTCGAAAGTGCTGCACTAACCGTCGGCTCGCTGGGCCAAATGATTCCACAGCGGGCTCTCGAAGCTCCAGGCCAGCTCTTCGAACACGGATTCCTCGATCTGGAACGTAGAAAGTGTTTTATGGTATAAAATTTAACTATATTTCAAGTGGCGAAACTTTTGTAAATTCGCAAGGAAAATTTCAATCAAGTTTTGGTCGAGATTCGGCATTTATTTGTATTTTTTAAGCGAATTCCCTAATTTTTGCGTTTAAGTATCGTCAAAAAAAAGTCGAGAAACACTTCCGATTTGCATCAGAAAAAAGAGGAAACATAGGAAAACAGCGTGGGGTGACTGGAAATAGTATTTCCGAAATACTAAAGAACTAAAACCCACCCTATTCAAATGCCTTGCCATCTCGCGTGACAGGGCCGGCTCCGAGCGGACGACCACTTCGATGATCTTGTAGAAATGGATGGCGGGAAGGCCGAGAGCTTCTGAAAGAAAGATTTTAGCTATAAATTAATGTTAGAGACTTTTAATAAATTCTTCTGTAATTTTTACACCGAATACCATTAAATGCCAATTTTCAAGAAAACAACAACAAAATATACCCTTACCAAGGGCCCAGGGGAATTTTCGTGTCGACTTGTTCGCGGCGAGCACCAGCTCGAGTGTCACGGCAAACAGCGACGCGATGAATTCTTGCTTCCGGGCGATCAACTAAACTCATGTTCTAGATAACTTTTCGAGTAGACGTACCGACAAATCGGCCTCTTTATACGCAGCCATCTTCTCCCGCTCGGCGACGATGATCCTCTCGAGTAGATGGTAGAACAGCTCCTCAACAAGCGCGCTGAACGTCAAATATGCCTAAAAAGCGATGCACGATTCCTCACCGATGCATTGCCAGATTTGATGTGATTTCCGGGTCCGGAATCCCGTCGGTCGATTTATTCTTTTCTTGCGCTACACGTTTGCTGAATCTGGAAATGGATGCGTAGCATACTGGAAAAAAGACTTCAAAACTGAAATAACATAGAAAAAAGGTAAGACTATAAATCTTTTCGTGACTTACTTATTCGTCAACGTCCTAACGCTATCCTTAATTATAGGCATCGGATCGTCCTCGTACTCGGCAAAGCAGCTCATCAATTGCGATCCTAAAATAGAAAATAAAGTTCAATGCTGAGCTCCAAAATCTACCTTCGAGCGTCCAACCGCGTGGAATCAGGGCTTCTAGCACTTTTGCTGTGAATGTCGGCAGTTCATTTCCCATCCGCGGGCAAAATTGATCGGAAGCCATCACATATTTTTGAATGACGTTTCTTAACAGAATTTTTAGTTCTAAGAGGCTTCCTTACCCCTGAGCAACATGCGGCTTGAGCTTCATCTTTTCAACGCGCTCCAGACAAGCCTGAAAAGGTTGTATATGAAAAAAATTAATTAAACGCACCTGTGTGGAAACGCGGACCAGGAGATTTGTGTCAATCGACCAGTCGGACAGCTCGGCTCTTCGCAGCATTTCGAGAGGGGCCGCTGAAAGGATAGAATGATCTTTTGAAGCTGTCAAACCAACCATCGTAATCCGCGTCGTAGATGATCTCAAAATGCTCGGGCAGAAACAGGCGCTCGTCGAATTCGCCCTTTTGGCGCAGCTGCTGGTCGTAGGCAACGTCGAAATCACCACTAAAAGTGTAGGAATCTCATTATGTTTTAGTCAAAATACTCACATATAATTGTCGCCATTGTCGATAATATTCAGCGGCCATTGCAGATTCATCTTCTAAATCGATTATAAACTTTTTAGCCGAACCCCCGAAATTACCTCGTAAATTATCTTTTCAAACACGTGCACCTTGAAGTGCTTCGCGTCGAGGGCAGCCCCGTCAAACTGCGCGCACAAGCACGAAAGAATTTGCTCGCCCTCGCCGCTCGAGCCTTGGACTGAAAATTTCTTTTTACGCTTCGATCCGAAAAACCTACCAAATTCTTGTGTAAACGTGTGCTGCAGGTCGAAGCAATCGAGGTCACGCACCACCAGATCGAAGCAGCACAATAAGGCATCAAAACAGATAAGTAGATCAGAGCTCGATCCCGCCGGGAGTTGTTCTGGAATTTGAGGGGTGAAATTGGAAAAGCAGTAGTACTTACTTCTGGTCATCAAATACAAGTACCATATCATGCGAAAAACCCGAGGCTGCAATGCGTCAACAGTTTGCGCTTCCGGTCGAGCGAACACAAAACTGAACGAAAATGTTTGGCTAACGCTCTAAAACAAACCGAAATATCTTCAAGAATTTACGAAATATCGTCACTGAGACGGACAGTGTGTTTTGAAGGCGTCGGGACTAAAAAAGAGCGTTATGTCCCTCTCAAATAGAAAACAAACCAATGTCATCAACTTGGTCGTGACAGTCCCTCCAAAAATCGGGGCAATCCGGTTCAACCGGTCAAACAGATCAATAACGCTCAATTTTCCGGCATCGAGCACCTCACATAATGTATATCTGAATCAATATTACCAACCGTCGCCTCAAATTTACCTAAACTTTGGCATATCCCGCACTTTTTTCTTCAAATGTTGAGTGGCGAAAAAGCTGGCTGCGATCCATGGCATCTCGGGGCCCTGGGAGACTTGATAAAAACCTTTCTTTAAAAATACCGTCAATGTAACCGCAGAAGTAATCCATTCATAGAAGCACCAGACACGATACTTCACATCCTCTTCTAACGTCGGATCGATCGCTTCGCAGAAGTCGATGAAAGTGACTGTGGGCGCGTTGATCGAGCCATCGCAGAGAAATTCGTCCAGCGGGCTGCCAGCTAAAATTATGAGGGTTAAATTACAAATTATAATGTGCATACGTTTCTCCTCATCTCGTTCCACTTCTACAAAGGAGCCAGTGGGCTGCTCCTCGATGGTCACCTCTTCAGCCACATCGTTTGGAGAGCTCATAGGATGTTTTTTGGAGATTGCTGGAAGAAACATTGAAAAGCGGCCGGGTATAAAAGGAATATAGTTGCCAAAATGAAGAGATAACCGCAATAATACGTCTATTGGTGTGTTATTGCGTGAATAACCTAGCACCTGGTAGATATTAGTGATACAACGGCCATCGGCAGATGTCTTTAGAAGGCAATCTGCCCCTCGGGAAAGCCGAAAATGCGAGAAAAGCTCTGTCAGCTACTCATGGCCTTATCGCTAAGCATGGTAAAATTTATAAATTAAAAGAAGCAGTTCCGGGGCGAAGATGGAGCTTTCAGCGTTACTCTCGACCGATGCCCGTTCCACAAGCATTCGCTTGCTTTCCCGCCATTCAGCTCTCTGCGCCATCCGCCGTTTTCTTTGTGTCTCACGAGCCCTCCCCCGCCAAAACGGCAGCTACCAGCCCGCCAAATTGGTACACATCGCAAAATGCCTTGAAATTCGGGACACCTTAGCGCCAACGGGTGTCAAAACAGCTAACAGTGTATTCCTTAAATACCTAACAAAGCGTATCCACTTCAAAATCTGGACTCTTTCGCATCATCCGGGGAAGACTTTGGTACTTACCAAGTTGGGGGCCACTTTGGTTTTCGACTTTGAGGTCTTTCTAGGCTAGTTTTTTGTGCTGGTTCCGAAAAAAAACAAAACAGAAGTAAAAAAAAACCATCCAACTTTGTTAAGCGTTAGAGATGCAGACATTCGGTATTGAACCAAAAATAATGCTTCACCCCGCCGGCCGACCCCCCCGGAAGGGGCGCGAGCTCGTAGCCGGAAACAAAGCGGAGGAGCGAAGCGCCCAGGCGCCCCAGATCGGAAGAGAGGAGCGGCAGCCCATCCGAAGCGACGGCCCACCTTTCCTGGCAAGCGGCCTCAAATTGTAGAAATATATTAATAAATTTTAACAATAAATTTTCACTTGGTTTTCTGTAAACCCAACCCCTCCGCGTGTTGTTGCGAATTTAATCAACCCCCTTGAGCGAAAAAAAACCCCCAGAAAGACCCGAAAAGCGGTAAAAAAGGTTCCCAAAAAAGACCCCAAAAGGGGCCCCCAAAACTTGAAAAGTACCGAGACTTTTCTTAGGATTATTTTTTTTGAAATAGAAATAGTGGAAGTATTTAAAGGGTTCTTTACTATTCCTCAACGTGAACGCGAAAACGTATCGATTTTTCGACCAAAATGGCCGATTTTTTACCAATATTTCGACTTTTAAAAAAGTTTTTAGATAGTTTTTTTCTAGTTGATATAGTTTGTATTTGCTAACAATATATTTGCTAAATGGAGAGGACAAGAAAGTTCTGAGGCTTCAAAGTGGGCCAAGTTGTCAAAAATGACACCTTCACGGGGCTGTAAAAATTCGAAGGGCGAAATTTAACAAACGGTTGCCTCTTGTTCAGCAAAAAATTCGCTTTTGGAATGAGCTAACATATATACGGTTTCGGCTAAATTTTGCTCCTTCCATTTTTACAGACATCCTAAACTGTCCGAAGCATCTCTGTTGCGCTGCCATGCCTGTGCGTCAATATGCCAAAAATTTATTATGCGTAAAATGAATAAAAACGATAGAATGCCGTTGGAGAAGCGGGTTGTGTTACCACTGAAACGGAAGCGGCTGATCTCCACCTTCCGGCCATCGTCGCTTCAATTTGTCCGATGCTCTGATAAATTTTGCCCTACAAGCATCAGCGTGCACCTAAAAAGCGAGTATTCAATGGGGAGCTAAAAGGGCTCGGTGTTGAGCGTTGAGAAAAAGCACCGGCTTTTGACGGTCCGGAGGAGCCTCGGGTTTTTATAATTATTTTGAAAAATTCGAGATTATCACGCTCTTTTACAAGCAGACGCGAATAGCTTTCTTCAAATATTCTGAATCGTTTCGTACGCTAGAAATGTGATTGATAGTCTCCTCCGGCAGAGCGTAGTAATAGGAAGTTGGGTACACATAGGATAACGGGGGGCACTCAAACTTTTTTATGATAAAAGTATTTTTAAATATGCTTTTTTCTGGCTGTAAAAAAAGCTCTTAGTATATTTTTCGGTCCTCTATCGAATGGCATTTTCAAAATATCGAAAATATTCAAAACGCCGAAAGATTCCCCCCGTTATCCTATGTGCTGCCCATAGTTTTCAAAAATAGTTTTTAAGCTATAAAACTTTTATAATACCTTTTTTCACGTTGTAAAAAATCTCTTAGTATATTTTTTGATGTTCTATCGATTCGCGTTTTCAAAATATCGAAAATCTCAAAATTTGGCTCCCCCCCCGTTATCTTTTTAAAAAAAAAAGTGCTGCCCATGGATTTCGATAAATTTTTGTTTATTCGATAAAAAAATTGCATTGACATTATTTCGGGCTGAAATTAATTCTCCTAGGGCAGTTTTCGACGCTTTATCGAATGACGTTTTCAAAATACCGAAAATTTCGAAAATTTGACTTCCCCACCCCCGTTATCCTATGTGCTGCCCATAGATTTTCCTCAAATTTTGTTTATTCAATAAAAAATTTCTATTACATTATTTTGGGCTGAAATTAATTCTCTCAGTATATTTTTCGACGCTCTATCGAATGGCACTCGCAAAATCCCAAGTAATTGCAAATTTCATAATAACGAGTGCCCCCCGTTATCCTATGTGTACCGGAAGTTGTGCTCAGTTTTGGTCCGTTTTCCTGCGTTTTCAATCCAAAACCAATATTTTCCATTTCCACTCCCCCTTACTTACCGTTTTTTTGGCTTCGACGCCTGCACCGTAGTTCTGTGCCAAAATCAGCATCGATCGTATCCCTTTCGCTATCTGTAAATTGTGGAATTGTGAATAGAAGGGAGGAGTAATTAGTAGATTTTTTGTATTGATTTTTGGGTGCTTCCGTGTTTGCGGGGGAGCAAGGAATAATTTTTTTGGGAGGGGGTTTTAGGGGTGAAGTAATTTAAGTTATACAATTTCCAATTGCATTTTACAGTGACTATTTTCAACAACAAACACAAATACATATACAAACGCTTTCGACAAAAATGCCCTCCCCCCGCTAGCACGGAAGCACCGATTTTTGTTTTTCCCAATATTCAATTCTAATGGTTATAAAACCTCATCCTTAGTCCTTATATTTCAACTAGAACAAAAAGAACAGCCTCTTTATTATAAAATTTTGGATGTTTGTGGGATTTCGCGTCTGCCATTCGATAGTGCGTAGAAAAATATACTAAGAAATTTTTTTACAACACGAAAAAATCTAATATAAAATTTTTATAGTCGAAAAACTATCTTTGAAAACTATGGGCAGCACATAGGATAGCGGGAGGGAAAACTATTTTCAGCGTTTTGAATATTTTCGATATTTTGAAAGTGCCATTCGATAGAGGGCCGAAAAATATACTCACGGCTTTTTGTAAGGCCCGTAAAACCATATTTAAATATATTTTTATCATAAAAAACTGACAATGAGTGCCCTCCCGTTATCCGATGTGTACCGAAAAAAACCGTCTCCTCTCTCATTACATCGGTGCGTCAAGTAATCGTAGAAGCTTACACTCTTGTTGCCAGGATTAGGGATGCTGACCGCTCCAACATACTCCTGGTAAAGAGTGGGGAGCACGTAGTCGCTTCGGCAACGCAGACCCTGCAAATTTTTCACAATAACCCAGTTCCAGTTAAAATTCAAAAAATTCTGATGGGTGGTGTTCACCTGTATTATCTTGAAATCGCCGTCAACTATGATGGCCGAGAATAGTTGCCATCTGTCGGAGAGGACGCCTTCCAGCCGACGCCCAACTTCAGGGAACAGCCCGTGCGTTCTCTAAAATATCTGATCCGGATGAAGCTGCAGAAAACAGCCATTATTAACGAGATTTCTAAAAAATACGCACTCTGGCTTTTTTCCGCCTGTCGAGGTAGCACAATTCGATCGCGCTGAAGGCGATCAATCTTCTGGATTTATCATTGACATCCTATAACATTTTATGGCATTCTACACAGCTTTTAGATATAAAAGCTGATAAATACTTATAAAAACATTCGAAGGTTTTGTGACTTTTGGCAAAAAGGTATGAAAAATTACCAACCAGGGCCAAAATTTTCGAATTTTCAAAAATGTTTATAAGATTTTTTGTAACTTTATCGCAATCAAAAACTACTAATTATTATTAACAGATAGGTAGGCGGAAAAATAAGGAATAGTTCCCCCTGCTAGAAATACTTCCCGTCTGATGACAGTCCAGTACCCCCCTTTTAGCTGTTTTATTAGAGCCTGGGTTTAGTTTTACTCACGAGTTTCGCGATGGCAGCCGAGATGACGTCCAGCATGTAATTCCAGGATTTACGGGGATATTCGGCGAGAGATAGTATTTCGACAAACGGGTGGTTTCCGAACTAAATCAAGTCATCGGGGAATCCCGAACGCCAACGAAGGGAGTGCTGATCAGAACCCACCAATCCATGCATATTCGTCATGTCGGTCGGGCAATCGCAACGTTGCCTTGATGCGCTATGATTTGGGCAGCGGCCCATTCGGGGGATATCAAGAACCATCCGTGCCTAAATCCTGCGATTTTTCCTGATTATTTTGAAAACTATGTAGGATTTAATTTGCGGCATAAGCGACCCCTTTTTTCTAAGGCTCCAGAACCGCCTATTAAGTAAATATAACGTGTTTTTAAGACGTTTTAGTAAGACTTGACTATATTTAAAGCAGAAAAAGTTTTAAAACTTAGAAAAATGTTTCAGAAAGGCGAAAAATCCGGTCATTTTGGGCCGAAAACAATTGATTTTCTACCCAAAATTAATCTCTTGCACTAAAATAGTTTTATTTTTACATCCGGAATGTTTAAAAACCTGGTGTGAATGTTTAGGCCGGAGCCGGAAAAGTTAGGTTCCCCCCGTGAATATTCAAGAGCACATGGTAGAACGAAACAGCATCGTCCAACATACCACCATCGACTTTTTGGGGTAAATACCCAGCATGTGTTGAACTTGTTCCCTGCTACGGTAGTTGAAGACGTAGTTGAAGGCCGACTCGATTTTCCGCTCCCTCCAGGGTTGTCTGTGAACAACTTGTGTAGGCGGGTCCCTATAACATTACAATCTTAAAAAAAGGAATTAAAGCTTACTCGAATGGTTCAACGCTGGCCAAACTTCGCCGAGTAGTGAACATTACAACCAAATTGCCATTTTCTCCATGCCATCGTAATGCCAACTGAAAAGTTCGGTGCTCACGGATCCGTGAGGAGGGCGCGGTTTTGGGTTACGACGGGAGCTGGAGGCTTGAATGTCAGGCTAAGGTTGAATGTAGCTTAACTGAAGCTAAGCTCAATAAAGCTGACCCGATCCCAAGCGCCAGTCAGGAAAAGTGCTCGAAAAAAACAGAATTTCGTGTGTCCTGCAATCAAAAGTCCGGACAACAAATAATTTTTTTTCGGCTCGGTCGGATCGGTCGGATTTTTATTTGTTACTCGGAGGCACCAACATTTTTGTCGCTGAATTCACATCGAAATTCGAGCCATCGCATGTTCATCACCATCGCCAGCAGGGAACGATTGTAGAAAATCTGGTACATAGGATATTTAATCATAGCCGCAAGGAATTACTACAGTGCTGCCCAATATTCTATCTTGTTCTAGATCCACATTGACCGAACACACCTTATTCACATAGCGCAGCTTCACCAGCGCCTGGAGGGCCACTCGAGAAAGAACCAACTGATGGCATTGTTTCGGAAGATTGCGAAACCGCAACCCTTTCTGGTATCCCATCTCCGTGCAGTCCATCTAAAGGAGTTACCACGATAAAAGCATTAAATTTTCAATGAAAACACTTGGAGTCCAGTGATGTTGTAATTCGTAAATACACGAATAATGATTGTAGCAGCCCGAAAAGGAAAAATCGATCGCTCTGCCTGACGCCACGGGCCGTGATCGACCCGACGACTATTCGCCCCCAGGGCATTCGGCAATCGGTTGGCTGACCCAGTAAAAGATCATCGACAATAAACCCAGAGTCAGCGACGGCAGGATTCGCTGGTTTCCCCGCCATTCATCTCATTTGCCCAAATCTTCCCGCGCTGTTACTCCAAACGGCCTATCACCGGCCAACTGCTTTGAAAGGAAGGTGCTGTTGCTGAGGTATATAAGTTTATCCAAAATGCAAATCACTGAGAAACCCGTAAAAATGGAAGTTGTAAGATGTAGCGTTTAGTCTTTCTTCAGGCACTTCATATTCTTCCTTGCCTCGTCGATCTCGCCGAGCAGTTCTTCACGAGCCTGATGAAAAACGTAGTTGCCAATCGAAAACGAAAACTTACCGAAACACAATCATCAAAATCGTATACTTTCTTCACAATGTTGGTTACGCCCCACAATACACAGGCCAATACGATGTAGAACGGGAAGAATAGGACGAAATGTGGCGGGTCCTCCTGAAAAAGAAGAATATATTAACCGAACATCAAATACCTGGTAATACCAAAGCATTGCCAACCATGTAACTCCCGTAATGTAAATGTAGGTGGCAAAATTCACAGCTTGCGTGGCCATCACGACAAGTAGAAATGAGGAGAATCTGAAAAAGATAACTTGTACAAGCATTGGAAAGGACACGGGCGCTATTTCGGAATAGGGGACCCACTTGGATTTTATCAAATCTAGGGTTTGCGACATGTTTTCTTTCTGTTTTCTTGGATAGTTTTGCGTGCTGGTTGCGAAAAACACCATACCAACTTGTAAAACCCTAGCCTTCGACATAAAAAAATTATCTAAGTCTAATGAACTGCTAGGGAAGCTAAGTGTGCGTGCCTGACTTTTGGCCACAATACACTGATAGCTTCGTTTTGCAACCTCTAAACTTTATAAGCCAACTAAGACCGACTGATGAACTAGCTTGATTGAGACCAAATCTCGGCCATCCAGACGAACCCACCTCGCGTAGAGTCTACTTGTAAGCTACCTATATGGGCGACTTTTCCAAGCTCCCGTGTAACGTAAGGGGGATCCTAGGCTGTTTTTTTTACGGAAGCTTCAGCTTAGCGTATGTGGGCGTTGCCATAAAGCCTAGACTCAAGCCAAAAACATAATCACCCAAGGGAATTGCCTCGCAAATGTACTTTTGAAGCCAAGTCCGCCCGCCCTATGTACCATAGCGATCCTATAAAGATCAAATATTATGGTGAAAATGTACGTTTTACGGGATGGGGTACCGTTTTTCGGAATGACCGTGCAAAATTACCCCAGCAAAAGTGGTTTTTAGAATGATCAAAGTGGGTCCCCAATTCCGAAATAGCGCCAGGACACGTTCGACAGGGAAATTAATAAAAAGTATTGCCAAAAGATTACAGATTTCCGGGTTCCGCAGTTTGATGAAAAACAAGAAAACGGCAAAAGTCAGAGATTTTGCGCGGAAGGCCTCGATAATACTCTTTACGCTCGGTACCATTCCAGTCAGGACCATTCATTTTGTAAAAAAATGATTATCACCTTTATTGATTATCCGGATTCATGGAATACACAAATTTACACCTGATCATAAAGCAAATAGTTAAAGGTACCCGTCAAAAGATTGGATTATGTCACATTCGTCAACAGATTATTGCAGGGTACAAATGATTGAAGGGTGAAGGACAGACTTCGACTGAACGCGAGAGTTGATAGCTAACAGTTTTTCACATTTTCTAAATTACAGGTATATACAAACAGAGCGGCTTGTGAATGAAAAAGTGACATTTAGAGTAAAGACCCGGGGGAAAATGCCCATAAATTTTAACCGAAGAAACCCCTTTTCTTTTGATATTTTTGTAGGAGAGCGGAGGAAGTCTCGGCATAATTTCTTGTTGATTCGGCCAATCGCTCTGTGGCATCATCGGCACCTTCCAATCTGTCGCCCCGCTCGTTCAGGTTCTAAAAAGAACATCATTGTCGAAAAAGAAGCATCTGCCGAAGCGAAAAAAAGCCAGAAAAGCAATGTCCAACCTCCACCTCAGCGGGTAACGAATACTTGGGTTTTCTAGTTCTGATCTAAAAATCAAAAGTATTAACCTGAATCGTCTCGCGAATTGCTCGTCCAGCACTCACTCCTTTCGTGATCAACCGATCGAATGAGGAGTTGGAAGAGGTCATTCCCGACGAAGAGGCCACGCCGCTGGTCGAAGGGCTATCTCTAGAAACGAAATATTCACAATAGCCTGCAAAACCCACCTTCCGGACGTCATTCTTTTGGCGCTGTCGGAATTTCGCATTGTTTCCAAGCGTTCTTCAACATTTCTTTTAACTAAAAAAGAATAAATATTATTTCACGCATGTGAATGATACCTTTAGAAAACAAGCTGGTGCCCCGGCCGCGTTTGTCCTTGTTCCGTCCAAGGGGCGCCCCATCGCTTTTCGAGCGAGCAAAATTCTGTAAAAATATTGGATGTAGGTAGGCAGCAGAATGCAAAAAAAAAGCCCAGAAAAAAGCAAGCCGATTACCGTTCTCTGATATCTTGGCTAAACTCAAAGTACAACTATAGATTACAAAAATAATACCTCTCCCCCATCGGATGTGCTCTGATCATTGTCAGCTATCGCCGGGAGCGTTTCATCATCCTCTTCTAACTCGTAAGCTTCTTCCGCCTCCTCTACCGTGACTGACGGGCTGGACTTTCTCGGTCTTCGGATGCCGAACAGGAGAAGAATTCGCGCGTATGCACTTGAGAATATCTAAATATACCAATTAGCATCGTGAGATCGTTGTTCAAAGTAAAAGGTACGCCCAAAAAATTTACCCAGCATACTGCTAGCCATATTCGTTGCCACCAAGGCCCTTTCGTCCGGCCTAAAAAAGCATCATTGTGAAAGGATATCCGTAGGGTAAATGCCAGCTTCTTACAAGGAGTGGTGTTTAGGTTATCTTAGAATTTTGCAATGTGACATAGCTCACTCGATAGAGCTTGAAATTCTAAACAAGTCCCATCTTTGAAAAAATGGCTGAACGCTAACCGTCTTCGAGAGTCAGTTTCCCAAAGTTCGGCCCTTTCAGAGCGAATTTTCTTGAAAACCCGTGTCATTCAGCAATTTTTGAAATCTGGGATTTGTTCAGCATTAGAAGATCTATCGAATAATCTATTTCACAGCGCAAAATTCCAAGATCACCTAAAAACCGCTCCTTGCTTATAAGAAATTTCGAGAAATGACGTTTCATTGCCAAAATCACATAGAAGCACCAAAAACGGAACGTTACTGACCTAAGCTGCCATCGTCATTGAGCATGGAGTAGAGGACGTGCGGAGATTGGTTGCCGCCGCGTGCCGAAAACCGGTCTAAAAGAGGCCCGGAATGATCGAGTCACGATTTGTGGCTGCCACAACAATCAGCCAATACATGAATTGTGGCGGGAATTCGATACTTTAGCCCGAAAAAGATGGCTTTTTGGATAAGTGATGAAAGCCACTACAAGAAAATTGCAAAGCAGGGGGACGTTATCAGGGAATGACGCATGCAGAAGAGGTAGTAGCCAGCAAACACACCTTGCCGGGAGGCTGAATTGGGCAAGACCATCCCGCCAGTGTCTGGAGAACCAGCGGTGCAATTGATTAGTGAAGCACCGTGACCCTAAAGGTTGTGATCAACAACAACAAAAAAACACCGCAGAATATGACGCTGTCGAATTGCCGAAATTTAAGCCGAGATAAAACGATGCAAGCGTTGTCAACGAGCTACATCAATTCAATCCCAAAAACCGCAAACCACCGGAATTCTCGGCAAATACGAATGTGATGTGTGGACCCTTCACGATTTCACGAATGTTTCAAAAATGTTTTATTACCCCAAAAAAACTAGTTAACACAGAGAGAAAAACCCACGGTAAAATGAGAAATGAAATCGACAATTACCCAAAAGAAATGAGGTGAGGTAATTTTAAAGCTCGGCCTCCTTGCGCTCGATCTTCATCAGCTCGACGTCAAAGCGAAGCGTGGCACCCGGCGGGATCTTTGGTGGGGCTCCACGCTAAAGAAAAGATAGCAATTTTTATACAAAGAAACACTAACGTCTCCGTAGGCCAAGTGGGACGGGATGGTGAGACGACGCTGTTCGCCCTCACACATGTTCAAGAGGCCCTGGTCCCAGCCCTTGATGACTTGCCCCTGTCCGAGGGTGAAGGTGAACTCCTAAACAAAAAGTATATGATAAAAATGAATAGCGGACCTGGTTGCGGCCGCGAGAAGAGTCGAACTCGGTCCCATCGAGCAGCGTGCCGACGTAGTGCATGTGGAGAAGATCGCCCTTTCGGCTCTTCACCTCGCAATTTTCGACGCGCTTCTAGGAAGAGGGAGAACAAATAAGATGGAGGTGATAAGGGGACGTTTTTTTAGTGTCCACGGAGTTTCGAAATGGGATCTAGCCTATTTTGTGCAGAATTTTTCGCTGATTAGAACCTCGATTTCAGAATCTGCGAAACGACCGAAGTAAGAAAGTTATGGCGCCCTATAAGGCGAAAAACGGCCAAAGTTGGTCATTTCGGGCATTTTTTGAAACTTTAAAGCCTCGTAACTTTTGCTAGCGAAAAATAGGCTTGGTCCCATTTCGAAACTCCGCGGACACGCAAAAACGTCTTCTTGTAAATATACATCCTTTAGAAAAAACTCCCACCTTGATCCCGATCTGGAGCTTGCCCTGCTCCTCGGCGTAAACACAAAGGGCCACCAGGGCCAGCACGATCAGCCCCTTCATCTAATCGGAAATGTTAAGAGTTGACAGATTCACAAAAATGATCAATAAACTGCGAAACACGCATAGCATTGGGCCAGTTTATGATAGAAATCTTTATTCAGTCGTCCAAATTATGCACGGGGAAATGACACTATAATCTAAGCTACGGTATGGACTACAAAAATACAGCTTCCTATCCCGCGAATCAGTCCTGTGCAATTGCCGTGTCATCGTCCTCGACCTAAAAAAGAGAACTCTGGATAACTCTCTGAGACGTACCTGTATTTCGATAATTCCCGAATGGACGGCAAACAATAGGGAGAGCGTCAACGCACCGAGTCCAAAAAGAAGAGCATCCCTAAAAAAAGAGTGCGAAAACGTGGAAAGTAACTGACCTAATTGGCAGATCCTCGCCGTCCTCTTCTTTCGGCTGCCCCGTCTCCGCCTTTTTCTGGCTAACGGCCTTGGCGACCCGAGTCAGCCAAAATGATTGAGTGGCCTTGTAATTCCTACAAAATAAAATATTATAGATTAGATGGCGGAAAAACTCACGCAATTTGTGCCTCGTTCAACGGCAGGTAAATGGAGGTGACCAACTCGACAAAACGGACCAAATTCGGGCACGCCGAGAGGTGGACTTGAAGCCGATCATTGGGGAGAGGGACTCGAAGCAAGACTGCCAGATATCCAAAAACCAGCGCGTCAAGGGAGGTGGGCCTAGTGAAATAACATAAGCACAAGGGACATAGGACCTACTTATCTCCATAAAAATATTTGTTGTCCCCCAATCGTGCCGAAAGCATGTTGAGTGCTTGGAGCGCATCCAGCATGATCTTGTTCTTGTTGGCCTTCCCCAAGGAACGGACAACTCGTCTCCTAAAAGAGTTACGTCATCAAAACGAAAAATTTCTTACCTCCTCCTTTCGGCATAATACAAATTATAGGGGAACGGTAGCTGGCTGGTATACCAATAATGGGTGGTGGTCTGATAGTTCGACTCGTCGACCCATAGGGTGTAGTCCTAAATCCAGGAAAAATTCAAATAGCCAAAATAGCTTACCACTGCGGGCATCAGCTTTTGTTGCAGGTAGCAGGCGAACGCATCGATTTGGGCTTTTTCCTTTGCCGTTAGCTCGCCGTCGATAACTACGACCTGGCCATTCCGTCGTAGGCCATCAACAAACCTAAAAAAAGCTAAAATCAGGCACAAAAGTTACTTGTCAAAGTCGCAGATGGGTTTTTCATTTCTGTCGACGCACATAGGATATTCCCCTGTAAAAATAGGTATATAGAAAATATTATTTGATAAAACACGCCTGTCGGCGAGTTCCAAGGAGCCGTAGAAGCCACACACGACACCGGGCTAGCGCAAAATTTACTGCAAGCCTAAAAAAGGATAATGGAAAGCTAAAAGATGTACCCACCAAAAATTGTAAGCAAGACACGTCAACCGATGGCAGGCCAAAATCCCCGGGCCATATATTCAATTCCATCTGAAATCGATATCGTGAGGTGGGCAGGCTGCGCTGACAGGCATCTTGGTCTCGGCAACCCGTTTTTTTCAAGAAAGAAGTAGAAGAAAACGACGTAGATTTATTATCATCAAGTACCCGTAAAAAGATATGCGAAGGAATGGAAGTGTACTAAAAACAACAGCATTTCCGAGAAAGACGGTTGGGGAAAGGAAAAACACACACATAGCTAATACACAGCAAATATTACATTCAGCTTGCGGGGTTATTTTGTTCACATAATTGCATTAGTTTGTTTGGGTGTAGCAATACAGGGTCGAGGGCTCGCTTCAACGCCGACGACAGGGCCATGTCGCTCAGCGAATTCACAACAACCTAGGAAAGTCTACAAAAAAGGTGCAAAAAGCGGTACCTCATCAGAGACCAGTGGTGCCAGGTTTCGTTGCAGATAGTAGCAGTCAACCTAAGCATCGCTCCTGAAAATGCCAAAGGGCGAACCTGGATCTGCTCCACGGCATGTTTACCGAATGTCTGCGTGCGGATGGCTTCGATGAAGACCTTTAGGAACACTTTGACCATCCCGGCAATGATTGAGCCACGCGTGAACTGAAAAGAATGATTTTTTTTTAGCCAGAAATCCTCTGCCTTGATTATTCCTAAACGTAAAGACGTTAGCGATATTAGTAAAAGCGTTATAAAGACCAATCAAAAAAATACGAAAATTGGGCTTTCGACCCAACATGAACGATTTGTGACGGAAATTTCAAATAAAATTTTCCCCGATGTGTTTGGATAGATGTCTAAATTTTAAAATAGGTAAAATTTTACTAACAACGCATTCAAAAATCAGGCTTTATGTTATTAAGACTAGCTGGACAAATAGGCAAAATTAGACCTCCCGATTGTGCAATAGAACCAAAGAACTTTTAACAAAAAGATAAAACCTTGAACGTACCGCGATTTGTTCATGAAAATCCACACGTTCGCTCCACAGCGTGTCGCGCTGGAAGGGGTCCGTTTGCCTGTAAGTTTTTATGTAAAAACAAAAATATTCTCCAAAACCTTGGTGTCCGGGAAGCCTTGACCTCCTTGCGGCCGTCGTTCAGAATGGAGGCGAGTAGCTGGTCAAAATCTCGAACCTAAAAATTAACCCGGGGTTTTTTTTAAAAGTATACCTCATCGACGGCTCTTCTGATTGCGCTGCGGACGCCAACAGGCGGCGCAACGTTTGTAGTGTTGTTTTCTACGGCCTTCGCGACACCTTCACCGATGGATAAGCCCTAGGAGGAGATTCGGGATGTTTACCGAATCGTCTCACCTTGGCGTCAACGAATCGCTTGATGACACCTTGGGCAGCATCTCGTAGAGCGGCAACGACGGTGTCCGTGTGCGTCAGATCTTTGCGCTAAACCAAGCTATTTAAAAGTAGTTTGTAAGAATGAGAAGCGGCGGTCCTAACAACACGCTGTCCTCCTTGGTAGCCAGCCCAGAAAGCGCTTTTGGCTAAACAAAACGCATTGATAAGATGCGGCATGATAAGCATACCCCCAGTCGGCTATTGCAAAAAAAATGCCGAAGAATGTCGAAGCCGAAGAAAGTTAAATAAAACATCATTAAAATCTACAATTTTTGATTCCTGAACAATTTCTCGTCTTTAAAAAATTTATGAATTGTTTTGGTGCCTTTTTGCAATCAAAACTACTAGATTGCTGACTATCACTAACAGTCCAGTACCAAAATCCCTACCTTCTTCTCCACGAGCAGAAACTGTTCCTCACAGAGCCGCATCAGATACTGGGCGCTCTTGCCAGCAATGTGGTGCAGGAACATGGCGATCGTCAACAGTAGCATCGGGGATACAAAGCGCATCTCGTCGCCAACGCCTAAAAGGGATTCGTTTTTAGGTAAAAGTCGTGCTTTATGATGTGAAATAGCCCATTCGAAAGAGCTTAAAATCCCGAATCCAGAGCGATGAAATTTTTAGCTCTATAGAATGAGATCACGTTGCGAAAAGCGCCATTAACGCACAAAAACCACCCAAAAATCACAAAACGTCAGAAACTTACTGGAATAAGTGGCCATCGCTTCGGCCACATCGTTCATCGCGCCAACCAACAGCTCCTCATGCACCGTCACGGCCAACTTGCTGTGGAAGAGGGCCGGTGGAATGGCTGCAAAATGTTGGTCCAGAATAGATGATACTCACCAGAAAATGTCACATCGCTAGCCGTAAACAACAACAAATTGGCCAGCGATGTCTTGACGTTGAACACGAAAACTTGCTCCAGCCGTGCACTCATCCCGTTCCAATCGACGTCATTTGACAGCGTACTTTCACGCATCTGAACAAGTTACGATTTAGAGTTCCGCGCTCCCCAATACCTCCTTCAACGTTAACTCGAGCTGCTCGACGATTTTGGCGCGCGAAATTTTCATTTGATGAAGCGAAACCTAAAGAATGTATAATAAAGAAAAACAACGGAAAAATACCTCATTGATTAGCGCGACGCAATCATCACCAAAATCGAGGCCTAGACGAAAAGGGATGAATGCTAGATTTCGGTTAAGTTACCAGGCAAGACTTGCGAACAAGCATTCATCTTTCGATAGTAACGATCGAGGGCGCGGACGACGATTGAACAATCTTTAGGGTCCGTTGAAGTGAGGAAAAGCCTAGACGCCATTTTTTGAACAGAAGAAGCCCTTACTTTTTGACAATCTCGTGGAAATCCGCCATCAGTCGGCGGACCACCTGCAGCAAAACGGCGTGCTTCGCCGGGAAGAGGTTCTCGTGCAGATTGACAAAGAGAGTCAAGTTCGGCAAAAATGTGCCACAGCCTAAAAACATAATTTCAAGAAAAACGACTGGCAAACCTCGATCCACAAGATCCAGTACATCTTCGACTTGCGCTTCCAATCCTGCCAAGTCGTCGCGCAAACTTTTCTCCGAGGCCGCCAATAACGTACTCTACACCAGATTCTTTGCAAAATTTTTGAGCACTTACTTGCAAATCATCTTTTGGAACGCCGAGGCTGACGAGCAATTCCACGTTTTTCGCCAATTGCTCCGTATTGTCAAACTGGCCAGTCGAGATTAGTTCACGTAACTTAAAGAATATATAAAAAAGCAAATCGATAATACCTCTGACTCGGCTTTCGTTGCTATAGTGTCACATTGTCCCAGAACTTTCGCGATGTGCTCCATGTCAGAAAACGGTGCCAGAGACTTTTTCGCTAGCAGAAAAATGCGAACAAGGTCCGCAAATTTGCCCTCGTCGAAATAGTTCTAAAGAAAAATAGAAAGCCCTGAAGGGTTCCCACTTGTAGCGTGGCAGGGAGGTCGTAGATGAACTGCACGCTCTTGACCGCCTTATAGGCACGGGACAGCTGCGTGACGTCAGACTTGTCCCCACCAATCGTGCCGCCAAGGTCGTGCAATAAGCCTTGAATTTTGCTCATCGAAGAATTGATTTCCTCCATTCCCTGTAGAATTACTAGATTACTTTGGGATCTAGCAAGAACTAACCGTATCCAGGCCGCTAAATTCGTCCTGAATTTTTCGAACCGTACTCGTGGCTGTGAGGAATTTGTTGTAGTTTTCGTAGACGATTTGATGTACGTCAGAATCCAGACGGCGTATCTAAAAAAGATTCTAAGGTGCTAGCCAACAAATTTACCGCGGTGATCATCTCTTCTTCGGAACGCATCAATTCGCTCAAGGTCTTGTCTTTGAGCTGGTAGCTGATGTACGCATCGACGTCGAACTCTCGTGATGTCAAGTCGAAGATTGACGCCGTGTGGGATCGTTTGGTGGACATCCCGCCTGAAATTTTATGTAAAGAACAGTCTCCACCATGGCAACAATAGAAGAAAACAACAAAAACAACAACAACTGATCCCGCCTGAAATTTTGTAGAACGCTCCACCATGGCAACAATAGAAGAAAACAACAAAAACAAACAACTGCAGGAAATCATCGTAAATTCAAAAGATCATGACACATCCGTGCTTCACTCTTTCATCTTCTTCTGTATCCTTTCTAACAACACCGAAACCTGCGCGTTCAAATTCGGCTGGCCCTTCTTGTTTTTCATCTTCAACGCTTTGTTCATTTTTCGTTTCGACGTATTGTACTTTTCCAAAGCCTCGCGTCTCTGGGCTCTTTCCTGTTGTTTTTGCAGCCTCTCCTCGGCACGATCGGCTTGAATTCGCTCATACTCATCCATTGCTTGCTCATATTCACGCTTACGAGGTTTGTAGCCATCATACTCACGTCGCTCTTCCTCGATTTCTCTTTCTGCCTGTTCATCGAGCTCCCGGAATCGATCGTAGACCTTTTTGTGAGGCTTCAGCGGAACAGGGGCCTCACTTGCGGCTTCATCTTTGAAGTGTGCGATCCGTTGTTTCTTGATGCGCTTCTGCTCGATGACTGGCTCAGGAGTGATAAGTGCTGCTTCAGCTGGCCGCTTTCTCTCTCGTACCGGCTCGGCATTCGGGCCCGTGAACTCGGCCTTGTCGCGCCTATTGCCTCTCTTTTTCATGTGGCGTCTTGGAGCTGCATCTTGGCTTGTGGCTGCAGCGCCCTTCTTGAGGAAGAAGCTTCCCGGCATCCTGAAATAAAGTATAGACTGAAGGCGGTGGGGGTACACGCAAGGAATTTGGATGCCGGAAACCCTTGGGGCGAGGCAAGCTACTGTGAGGAGAGCGCCAAGCAGCCAACCAAGCAATGTCTTAGCCACGGAACGAACGAGTTTCAGCTACTAAAACCCAAAAATCGCTAAAAATTCCGAGAACAGAAACCGATAAATAATGGCAATTTGGCAATCGGGGTGTATTTTGAGTAAAACAGACGTTTCCATTCATTTTCAACGCTAGTTTCCCGCTATTGGCGGGAAATCGACCTTGATGCTACAAAGAATGGGTTTGGATTTGACTAAAAATAGAGCCCTACGAAGTTAGCAAGAAATGCGTAAACTGTGGGGGAAACTTCAACGTCTAATTACAAAAAGTAACAATAAATATGCGCAATTTTACGTACACATTTCAATCGATTTTCTTTTAATTTTTCTAAAAAAAAACGAATTACATCGTCCGATGCGCGCTCAACTGTCCACGGACGTCCGTGGACAGTTGAGCGCGCATCGGAGGCTCGCGTACCGATTTTTTTTGATGACTTTTTTTACTGGGAATGGAAAAAGGGCCAGTCTCCAACTTTGAAGACTGAACAAATATACCCTCACAGTCAGGGCTGAAAACAAAAAAAACTAAATTAAAAAAGTGCACCGGCAGGCTGGGCAGCGGGCAGCGAGAAGCTTGAAGTGAAGGCTATAATCTTCAATACCCAAAAATTTACATATGATCAGCTTCAGAAGGGCGGAAAATCATCTGCCAGTGTCTCCCAACACTACCCGTCAAGCTGGCTGACATTTTTGGATCGAGTTCCGGACCCTTGATTGGTTTGTTGAGACGCTTCTTGCTGAACACAGTGGCCTTTTGCAGAGGCCTCGGACAAGGAGGCGCCGATACCGGCACCGCATGACACTACCGAGACTGATAGAAGTAGGGACGAATTAGATTTTTCTTAATATTTGCTTTTAGAAAAGACCAAGTCGAGCTCCCACTCGGCCCCTCCCTCCTCTGCCACCACCAATGAGACGCAGTCGAAGAAGAGCACCGACCAGAAGCCCAGCCGCAGCTTCTCCTACTCCCAGCTGCGCACCAACCCGGCCGATCCACTCTCGGTATGGCAGAGTTTGGAGAAATATCGAATTCGGTCCTGGTTCAAAAATAGCACTGTTTATTAACATATTAACATTTTTCGCCTCTTTTAGGTATCGAAAGCTCGTAAAGTTTTTTTAAAGTCCTTTACGGCTTGGCTTTTGGGTTATAGATGTTTTAAAATTGATCATATATCAAAGATTTTCAATTTTTCAGTATGTTTTTTATAAATTTTAGCTAATCGGAAAACTTTAACGAAATTATACAGATAGGTATGCTTGATTAGAAGGGAGGCTAGGCTGAATCAGCGAAGCTATCCTCCCGCTAACACGCCAACCTCGAATCCTTGCAGCTGGGGAAGCTGGTCGTTTGGAAAGACATCTACGTCGAAGTGCCGATCCAGACGCGCTCGCGCATCTGGTCATTCATCCGCCGTCGCAAGCCCTTCGAATACCGCGTCGTTTTAGATCAAGGTTAGCTTTCCTTTTATTATTCATAAATGGTAATTTTTAGTGTCCGGGGTCGCCACACCTGGCCAACTTACCTTCATCATGGGCGCTTCTGGAGCCGGCAAGACGACGCTGCTCAACGTGCTCACGCAGCGCAACCTGAAGGGCATGCGGGTTTTTGGCGAGGTTAGAAATTTAGGCTCAAGTCTAGGAAACCCCCAGCCGACTTTTCAACTTTTCTACGGTCCTTATTTTTATTTTTCGCTACTTTTTTCGACTGAACTGCAATGTAGTCTTACTAATTAGCCTACGGCGAACATTTTGGTATACTTTAGAGCTCGCTAGCACTAAGGGGGACCGAGATACAAAAGTTGGTGCCGGCTGGGGGGTTTCTAGACTCTTACCGAAATTTAAAGCGTAAACGTAAATGTTTTTAGGTGCTGGTCAATAAACAGCTCATTGATGCGGCCAGCATGCGCAAGATATCGGCCTACGTCCAGCAAGAAGATTGCTTTATCGGCGATTTGACCGTTCGCGAGACGATCGTTTTTGCGGTGAGCGTGTTCCTAAATTGTTTTCTGCGATTCTCACCATAAAAATGGTGCTATTTTTCATTAAAAATGGAGAAACTATCACTTCCGACCAAAATTCTGCTTATTTACCAACTGTTTGCAAGTTTTAAAATTTTTACAAACAATTGAGTCTTTCAGGCCAATCTCCGGATGGGGCAGAAGTATTCGCACAAGGAAAAGCTGCAGCGCGTCGAGAAGGTCATCAGTCAGATGGGCTTGACCAGCTGCCAGTACACGCGAATCGGCTCGCGCTTCCACAAAAGCATCTCGCGGGGTGAGAAGAAGCGGCTGGCATTTGCTTGCGAGGTAAAAATTAATGGTTTTCTAAGCTATTTTTTAGATCCTCACCAACCCACCGATCCTCTTTTGTGATGAGCCGACCTCGGGGCTCGATGCATTCATGGCCAAACAGGTGCCGTAGCGCTACAAGCTGTTTAGTCAAACTTCTAGGTGGTGGCGGTGATGAAGAAGCTGGCGCTCGATGGGATGACCGTCATCTCAACCATCCACCAGCCGAGCAGCCAGGTCTTCGAGCTGGCCGACAGGTTCGGCTTTGGAAGGATTTTTCTAAAGCGCATCTTTTTTAGCTTGATTCTGATGGCGAACGGAAAGACTGCCTACCACGGCCCGGCTGATGAAGTCACCGAGTTTTTTAGCAGGTGACTGACGTTTTCAAGCCCTGAACAGCCTTTTTTAGCGCCGGCTTTCCGATGGTGAACAAGTTCGTTAACCCGGCCGATCACTTCATGCGCGTGCTGTCGCGCAGCGAGGGCGAAACCGAAGACCAGCACGGGAGTCGCATTGAGGTTTTCTTATCTGAAAAATTGTACATTTTTCTCCGCTTTCCAGGCGATCACCCAAAAGTACGTCACCTCCTCGTACGGCGAGACGGTCGGTAACTTCACGCACAACTCGTTCGAGGTGTCGAACACGGAGCGGCGTCGGATGCGCGAGGACTATTCCGCCTTGAACCAGTCCGCTGCACTTCTAGTGACAAAAACCCAGGATTTTTTAGGTACAAGACCTCGTTCCGCTGGCAAGTCTGGATATTATTCTACCGGGCCCTCCGATGCGTCATCCGAAATCCAATGATTTTGAACGTGCGCCTCTTCCAAGTGATGGTACGATTTGCAGGTTCTTATGCATTATCGGGGGGGGGTTTCTAATATTCATTTTTCTCCTATAAATAGAGGAGGGTTTCTCAACGGGTTTCGACTATTCCTAGGCATAGAAATTCATAAATTTTCATGTCGTTTTTCATCTAAAATTTCATTAAAAAAATTCTCACATTTTTTCGTTGCTTTTATATTTCAATTTTACTCTAAAAAGACCATAAAAATGTGTTTTATTCCGTTACTAGACGTTTCTGCATCTAGTAACGTCGCCCCCCCCCCAACCGATATTCCAAAAGCACCAATTTTTAAACATCCGGAAAATACGGCGTAAACCTAGATTTGCGCGATCACCATCGGGGCCGTCTACCTGCAAACACCGCTGAGGTACAATACCATCCAAAACTACGTCGGCGTGATGTTCAACAACGTGCGCGACATGAACTTCATGTTCGTCTTCCCGTGTATCATGGTTGGTTTGCACAAACTTGCTCAAAAACGCGACATTCAGGTGTTCACCTCCGACCTCCCGGTGATCATTCGCGAATACAAGAGCAACATGTATCTACCCGCGGCCTATTTCATCGGCAAAAATCTGGCAGACGTGAGTGGCCGCGTCCCGAGTTCCAGTACGAAAAATAACTCTAGACGGTGCAGTACCTGGTGTTCCCCTTCATCTACAGCGTCATCATCTTCTTCATGACGTTTCGACTCTCGGACTTGGATGCTGTAGGGAACCCGGTTCCTAAAGGTCATCTCCACGCTCGCCCAGGCTGGCGAGTACACGTCCTGGAAGAAATTTGGCAAGTACGTATTGGTGAATACGTGCATGGCGACGACCTCTACGTCTGTTGGTGCGTTTAATGATGGAAAATTCTAAAAATCATGGTCCTAGGGTTTCTAAAGGTTCATGCAAAAGCACCAGAACTGCCCCTGAACAAAGTTATTGACTTTTTTAAAATAGCCCATAAAAAGTCGGCCATTTCCGCCGAATTACAGGCTACGCTGCTGCTTGCATTTGCGGCAACCTGGAAATTGCAACGCAGCTCGTCCCCCTTGTCGTCGTCCCGCTGCTCGTCCTCGGCGGTCTTTTCATCAACCTCTGGACGGTAGCAACGAAACGGAAAACGTTAGAAAAAACAGATTTTCAGGTGCCCCTCTACTTCCGGTGGATCGAGTACATCTCGTACTATCGCTATGCCTTTGAGGCGCACATGAACAACTTTTTCAGCGACATCACCCACATTGAAGGTGGGGGAAATGAAGAGGAAAAATTGGAATTTTTGGATTGCAGGCTGTACGAATGCCACCGACAAGTACTGCCACCAGATCCATCTCGACCCGGAAGTGCGGGTTGGTGCCCAAAAAACCTTTTGAATAAAAATTGGCTTCAGAAAGCGGCAATCGATGCTGTTGGCCACGGTCCGAATCTGATGGTCAGCATGAAAATGCGCCCAGATGTCTTCTGGTAAGTGATCGATGGCAAAAGTCGCCGCAATCTTTTACACAAGCTCCCATTCCAGGATCGACATCGGCTTCCTCCTTGGTATCACGCTGGTGCTCCGTCTGATTGCTGTCATCGCCCTCCACATCCGCGTCACACGCCGCTAATCGCTGCTGAATCTACTCGCAAACAACAAACAACCCCTCGACCCACTGCTTCCACCTCCTGCTCGACCCAATGCCCACGGCTCTCGATTGCTCTGATCTCCATTTTTTTTTGCTAGTCCCTCACCTATTGCTCGCACGATTGTATTTTCTTCGTCTAGTTTTTTTTGCTCTATTTATGTAGAGTTGTTTCGAATTTCACCTGCTTGCCAGTTAAATAAAGTGTTTTTGGCGGGATATCGATGCGTGGCAAAAGTGGCGATTTTTTAGTTTTATAAAACTTCAAAAAAAATACCGTAGGTGCGTCCAGGATAGTACTCGAGGATCAATGTTTCCGAGAACAAAACAACAAAAGTAACTAAATTCGCGAATTTTAATCTTTCTAACAAAAAAAATAAAAATGATGCATTACGCGAGAAAATGATAAATTCCATTTGCTACGAATTACGGAATCCCGTAAGTAGGTACAAGGCCATATTTAGGATCGTCATGTTTCAAAAGTTTAATTAAATTAAATATAGTCAACCGTCTCAAAACTTCAAAACTATAATAAAAAGGTTGGATAATAATATAATAGCTACTATAAGTGCATTGCTATATAAATAGTGCTTTGCCTGCTGTCTGCCTTCCTCTTTTCCCTACCCTTTCGAATACTCTCAGCCCGGCGCCATTGCCAAAGAGAGCCGTGTTGCATGTCGTAATTGCTCTTGTGAATGTTCTCTTCATTGAAATTTTCAATTTTTACAACCCAAATCCCTCCTTTCAGCCGATGAACCACGACATCGACGCCCTACGGGCAAGTTTCGAGGGCTGCACGACGGTGCCCGAAGTCGAGAAGCGCATCCGGACCGAACTTAGCGATGCTGAACGCCTCGTTGTTGCTTCCGTCGCCTACGACCACTTCTTCGCGAGCAATTGGTGCGGGATTGAAGGTTTGTCGTTGCTCTTATTGAGAACAAAATAGGGGGTTATGTCATGGAAAAAATAGCTTTTCAGAAGCCGCCCTGCTTGCTAATGACGTCGAGGAAGGCCTACGCCCGCAAGTTGTCGAAGCCTTGTCTTGTGAGGGGATGTTGCCTTACAAGGGGACAAGGTTGGAATTGAAAGACCTATTTTTCAAAGCGTTTAGGTCCCTTTTGCTTCTCCTTGCCGCGATCAAGGCCATCGAAGGGCAAAATGGAGGCCAGGTCTTGCAGCTCAAGGTGAGAAATTTTGTTTGTTTTTTTTGAGGATGTTTCTTTAGATTCTGATGGCCTGGCAGCACCTGCTCGACGAGTCTTCATCAACGATCCACCGGCGTATCAAAGAATTGATCAAGGAAGTGCAAAAACCATGCGAAGTGGGATTTTTGGGCTTGTTGTTAATATCTTTCTAGGAAAGCCTCGTGATCAGCGTGGAGCGCGAGCTGGTCATTGCCCAGGCGTGCCTGTTGTTCTACGGTTACGATGAAGCGCATCGGCACATTGACGAGGTGCGCGTTTAGTTTTTCACCAGGTATTTTGTTGATTCAGGCGTTCAAACTGGCAAAGCTTGACGCGACGCTGACCGGCGAGCTCGGCAAGCGCACAAAATGGCAGCAACACCTGGTGGCCCAGTTGGTGTTGTCGGTGGTGGGGTTTCGAGTGGTTTTTCCTTCACTTTTTGGTTCTAGCAAGCTAGCGGCGAGGTCGACGAGGCCGAGGAACAAATGCCGGAAAATGTGCAGTTGAATGACGACACGCTGATGGACACCATCACCCTGGAAGGCCCAGCCAAGGAGCCGGTCTTGCTCACTTCGATGCAAGTGGCCTGCCTCGTCGCCCTTACCACGTACAAGCGGAAAACACAGCCGAAAAGCGACATTGTCACCGAAGAATGCATGGCGACAATCTCTATGGTAAGCGATTTAGGCTTTTTCATTATCGTTCTTTTAGATCCTCTCCCAAAAGCGCTGCTGGGCGGGGCATTGCCAGTCGCTGATCATGCGCAGCGACTTGGAGAAGGGCAAGGGCCGAAAAGTATGGTGCCATGTTGTTAGATGGAAAATTTTCTAGGTGGAAAGGGCTTGTCAACAGCTTGAATCGTTATTGCTGGGTCTGGATGGGACGGCGAGTGTGGGTTTCTAACATATTTTTTTAGCTAATTTGTAAATAAAGGTCAATATGTTATTTTTAGTATGCTGAACACGGAGTGCCAAGGTGCAAATTTGCGGTCGCCTGTGGCCTTCCCCCATGGTGGAAAGTGCGAATCCAGTATGCGCGTGTGCTCTGCTCGATCGGATTGTACTCGGTACGTTATAGCTTTTTTTAGAATTATTTTTCATTTCAGGAGGCCCTCCGCTGCTACGAAAAACTAAAGAACTGGGACGGCGTCATTGACTGCTACAAGTCGATGGGCCAAATTGAGAAAGCCGACCGGTTAATAAGAGAGTAGGTCAATTTCTAATATTCTTAATTACTTTATCGTTCAGCCTTATCGATCAGAAGGACGACAGCGTTCCCCTCCATCTCCTCTACACGATGCTCGGCGAGATCAACCAGGAGCTGTCGTATTTCGAAAAGGCCATTGAGGTTCGTGAAGGTGTTTTTGAAGATTTTTTGTTTAGATCAGCAATGACAAAAACGCTCGGACACGCCGCTCGTTGGGAAATCTATTTTTGTCTCGCAAGAAGTACCCAGAGGCCTATGAGAATTTCCGACGCAGTTTGGAGCTGCGCCCGATTCAGGTGCAAATTGTCTGTTACAAATACAACGATTTATTCAGCTTGGTGTGTGGTTCAACGCGGGGTACTGTGCGTGGACCAACGAGCAATTCGAGCAGGCAACCGTCTGCTTCCGCCGGTTTGTTTTGATACTCGGTGCTTTCGCGTTGTCGGGGGGAGGGGCTGAAATTTTTTGTATAAGTTTGTAAGTGCCTAGTAACTTAATAGGAACTTTTCAATCTGGTTTTTAGTAAAATAAAACTATATTTCAACCAGAAAAACTATCTAAAAACTTTCGACGACTATTCATAAGTAGAAATTTTGGTAAAAACGGTCTTTTTAGCTTTGCCCCCCGCCCCCCGATAGTGCGAAAGAACCTGATATGGATCGATTTTCGGACAATCTGACCGTCTTATCAACGATTTTTAGTTGTGTCGACCTCGAGCCTGAACACTTCGAAGCCTGGAACAACCTATCCGCCGCCTACCTTCGTCTCAACCAGAAAAAGCGGGCTTTCGACGTGCTTCAGGTAGCGCTGTTAGTTTAGCCTGACCGGAAGTCTTTTTAGGAAGCTATCAAGTTCAGCATCGAAGACCACAACATTTGGGGAAATTGCCTGCTCCTGGCGCTGTCCGTGGGCGAAGTGTCGAAGGCGATACAAGCATACCATAGGTAGCTTTTGCTTTTGTCAGTTACTTTAGTTTTTTAGGCTTCTTGACCTGAAGCGAGCCCCCACCGATGACGATTATTTGATCAAGCTGACGAATGAGGCGCTGGACCTAATCGAAAAGGTGGGAAGCGGCTTGTCCTGATTGCATCTGGCTTTTTAGGAACCCAACGACCCGTGCCTGGACGAGCTCTGCAAGCTTTTCGCACGCATCATCGCTTCCAAGTCACTCGGCGCACAGGTTTTTGCTGTTGCAATTTTAGAAACAGACTGTTCAGGGTTACCTCCTCTACGCCTCCCTCAAAAAGCCGTCGCCGGGTAGCGTCGATCAGGATGGGCGCTATGTGCGCCTGGTCGAGCAGGCCCTCCAGGCCGATACGATGAAAAATGTAAGAAATTTTAGGGGTGGAATTTGTAATGCCATTTAATTTTGAACCTCATCTAATTCCTTTTTTTTATTTCAGGACTATTTGACGAAGGTGGAGGTGGCGCTGCGCGTGCTCAAGACGGCCAATCTGCTGATCGACACACGGTTGGAGCAAGCCGGGATCAGCCAAAAGGAGGAAGACATCAAGAGGGTGAGAATTCGGTTTTTTACAGATTTACAGAGGCTTCTGGACTGTTTAAATTTTAAGCTTGCTATAGTATTTTTAGTACTTCTTATTCGCAAAAACGTTAAAAGAATTTTTAGAAACTCTGATAACTTCAGTTTTGAGAAAAAAATACGTTTTTTTTCAAAATTTCGACAATCTTGTTACGAATTTCTATATTTAGTTTTCTAGAAGGTTTTTATTTAGTGTTTTGTATTCTACGATCCCCACAACATTTGCCTTTTCTTTCCAGGCAAAGTCGCGCAACAATTTGACGCTGCTGCCCCACCTCAAGAAGATCCAAATGGCCTACCAGGACCAATTCGGCGCTCAAAACGAGCTGAAGATGGCGCTCGACGATGTTATGGCCAAAATTCAAGCCTAGGTTTTTGCCTCGTTTCCAGTTGTTGATTTTGAATTCTCAATCCATGTGCCTGAATTGTTGATTTTGTTGTTTTTCAGCTCCTCGTTTTTTGTGTGACGTTGTTGTGGCCTTTTGCATCCACTCTGTGCCTACACCAATCCGGTTCCCCTCTTCACTTTTTCACAATGTTGAATTTGATAAAGTTTTATCCATATATTTCGTGTGGTTTCCGGTGCCTTTCAACCCTTACTATGTATAATATTTATTTTCTGTGCAACCACACTATACTGCAAAATTACAAACGACCCGTAATGAGAATGGATTGGGAGGAGGAGGAGCTCCCTTGAATCGACTAGAGCACCCGGAGTATTTGGGGGAAAGCTGGGTTGCGAAGCTCTGGCTATCGCAGCAAGAACACGGCAAGGAGTGGCAATAGTATTCTGAGGGAGGTTGGGGCCGCCGATTCTAGCGGTAGCTCGATGAACTCGAGATCGTTTAGCGCTCGCTCCTCAACAGCTTCTGACGTGTCGGCAGAGAGGTCGGTGGGAGCGATGATCGAAGATACGGCCACGCCGACACCCCTATAATAACATGATATTTTTAGATTGTTTTATTTATTAGTTAGATTTTTAGGAGGTTTTATTCAACAAAGCCGAACCTGTTGGTGATGGGCTGCACCTCGACGGCGTACTCCCTCCACGGCGCCAGCGCGTCGAAGCGGGTGTTGCGGCTCTGTGGCGGCAGGATGGTGATGTTCTCGCTGCCCTGCCCGGGGGATGTGAGTACCACTCTGTAAGGGGAAGTAAGTTTTTAGTTTTTAGATTTAAAAAGCTCATAAAAATCATAAAAATGTTCGAAAATTTTTAATTTTCGGTTTTTAAGTCAAAAACGTGAAAAATGACCAAAACGGCCAAAAGTTGCAATTTTTCATAAATTCTACGTTTTTTTATAAACTTTTGACAATAAAAAAGGCTAAAACGCTAGAAAATACGTTATATACTATTAACATAACATGTAGGCATAGGTGGAAAAACAAGCACTTAACGAACCTGTAGCCGATGACGGTGTCTCGCCGATCACTTTCCAGCCTCTCCCACGTGCAGTCGATCGACGAAAAGTCCCAATCGCATCGCAAACTCGGCTTCACGAAATCGCAGGGCGGTTTCCCGCTGGTCGGGGTCTCCTCGCAGCTTCTCGTCTCGAACGTGCCGGCGACGCTCGGCTGAAGTTCTTGAATTCAGCTTTTCAGAAACCTTTTCTACCTTCTGCGCGCCCGGCTCGTACACCTGGGCCAAGTAGCTGCACTGGAAATCGAGCTGCCGCAACTGGAGATGGCATTCGTTTGCCCACTCTTCGCGCCAGACGTTCAGCTCGCGGCCGGATTGGGCGCATCTGGAAATGACGGGTTTAGTATTGTTATTTGACTAGTTTTTCGTTTTAGAATGCTGTAATTTGAGTTATTAAGTTTACAGGAATTTTCAGGGTACGCTACGCACCTTTGCACGGTGTACTTGACGAGGAAGCGCCGTTTCTGAGGGCCGCAAATTCGCGAGTTGACCCAGTTGATGGAGGTGGTCAGCGAGTCGGTGAAGTGCGGCGTCTAAAATCGAATAATTTTTTCAGCTTTTCTTTGGCATTAACGGGGGAGGGATTTCCCTACGAGGCGAGAAATCCCAAGTAATGTAATAGCAAGTGTTTTAATAGCCTTTTTAGTAAAATTTAGCTATTTTTCAAATAGAAACTAACTAAAAACGTAGAAAAATCTTTAAAAAGTCAAAATTTGAGCGCAAATCGACCATTTTTCGTGGAAAATCGTTATTTTTGTGTTGCTTAATAAAAAATTGTAGATTTTGCACGTATTGGAATCCGGCAAAAAGAAATGAAGTCGAGTTAAAGTGGAAAAACTATCCAAAAATTGTGCATTATTGTCGTAAATGGAATTTGTCAACGGAATTTTGCAGATTTTCTACGTTTTGGAATAGTGTAAAGCAAATTTGGACCGATTTAGAATGGAAAATCGATCTGAAGCAACCTGGAAGCTTTTGAATTTTCGTCAAAATCGGTCATTTTTGATCGATACACCAATTTGCGGTACGTTTCTGCGTTTGGGAATAGTAAAAAAAATTTAGAATCACGGTAATTTCATCATTATTTCCGATGTTTTGAAATTATTTACAATAATTTTTTAAAGTGAACTTTATTAATTTTTCGTTGAAATTTCAGGTGCCAGGACTCACCTCGACAACCATCCCTTCGACCGTATCCTCCCGTTTCGGGGACCCAGTCGGGACATCTAGGGGGATAAGCCGCTCGATTCTGTCTTCCGGATGGTTCCCCCTCGTCCTCACAAACACTAGCGCTTTTTCGCCGCTCAATTGGCCCTCGGCCGAGTCGGCGGTCGCCTGAACCTCAACCAGGTAGACGGCGTTCGGCAGCAGTCGCTCGAGGCGCGTCTGCGTCGCGTGCGCCGGCACAAGTACGGTTGTCCGGTCACGTTCCACCAGGGTTAGTTCCTCCTAAAATCGGGGTTTCGAGAGGATCTGGGCTGTTAGCGGGGGGGTGGGTAACGAAATTTTGCTTGTGGTTCTCTAAAAACCAAATCTAAACTATTTTTATGGAATTTTAGATAGTTTTTAGATATAAGAACAATATAAAAACAATAAGAAAATTTTTTAATTTTTGGGCAAAATGTATGAAAATAATCAAAAAGGTCAAATTTTTGAATTTTTAAAATTTAAAAAATATTTTTTTAGACTTTTTATCAATCAAAAACTACTAAAAACACTGAAAATTCAGGTTTACGTGGAAAAAAAGCAGAAATTTGTCCCCCCGCTAAAAGTCCCGAGCTCAAACCTCTTCGGCATCTCGTTTCTCGTGCTGCCGATTGTCGGCCTCGCGCTGGCGGAGCATCAGCTCGTAGGTGTCGGCTTCGGCCTCGGTGGAGGCGGCCCAGGATACCTTAAAAAGTGGGTTATTGAGGTAGCAGGGCAGAAAGCTTACCATATATCCAGTGATTGGCAGATCGGAGACCGGGGGCATCCAATTCAGCATTTGGGACCATTCCCCGGATTTTAGGGTCGATTCGCCGAGGATGAGGTCACGAGGCGCTCCGGGGGCTTTGGCTTCTAAAATGGGCTTAGGCTTAGTTTGGGGCTAGGTCATGCTTAGGCTTAGGTTGAGGCTTAGTTTAGCTTTGGCTTAGCTTGGGCTTGGCTTGGGCTTAGGCCTATAATTAGACTTCGGCATAGGCTTCGGCTTATAACTGGGCTTAGCCTGGGCTTTGGCTTAGCTGAGGCTTAATACCTACCTTTACTGAGCTTAAACGGTATGCTCGGCACCGAAAATCCGTGGGTCCCGTGACGATTCACCGACGCAACTCGGAATTGATAGTACCGCCCGGGGGACAGCAGGTGCTTCAAGATGGCGTAGTCCTTGTTTTTCTAAAAATTATTTTACAAAATTTAACTAGTATAAATATAAAAATTTAACCAGTTTAAGCCAGATTCTGATTCTGATTCTGCAAAATGAAATAATCTATAAACCAGCGCCCAAAACCCGCTTCGCGGGCCTTGGGCGCTGGAATGGTGCGTTTGCATGAGAAATTTGACTTTCCGGTAGCTCGGGTCCTTCGGACCCCCCCCCCACCACACGCTCGCGTGCAACTCGCAAGAATGAGGAAATTTGTATTTTTTCACATTATGCAAATTACCCCCAAAAATGAATAAAACCGGCTTTAACTTTGTAAACTTGTATTTTATCGAAATTCTGAGCACGCCATCGGAAACAGAAGGGTCGATTCCCCCAAGTGACGAAGAATTAGGGCATTTTATGCACGGGAAGGCCCTCAAATCGGGCCTCGAAAGTGACATCCACACACACACACACAGTTACACGCCAAAATTATATAAGGTAGGATTTTAATACAATTAGCATACCAGTGCGACCGTCTGCCAATTGGTCATGGCCTCTTCAGATAGTCCCCATCGCCATTGGACCAGATAGAGGTCGGAGAGAGCATCTTGCTGATTTCCACGCTTCGCCTCCCAGCGTACCACGGCCGATCTGTAAAAATGAGCGTTGTGGCCGATTGGTTGTGCGTCAGAATGCTAGGAAAGGGGTCCGAGTTCGATCCCGCCAGCGCGAAAATTTGTGCTTTTTGAGAATTCAACTTAAAAGTGAAAACCTACCTTTATCAACCAATCTTGATTGACAAAACAATAGTTTTAGTTTGGCTAATTGGTTGTGCTATCTATTTTCAGGAAAACAACCCGGGTTCAATTCCGGTCGGTGCGAAACTTTTTGCTTTTTGAAAACTCAACTGAAAAAGCAAAAATCTACCTTTTCCGCTTTCGCTCCTGGACGGTGACGTGGAAGGGCAAGTTGGGGATGGTCGAAGCGGATTGGCTGGTGCTAGAAGGGGAGGGAGAAGCCGGCTGGAAGCATCTTCTCGAGCAGCCCGACGCGCAGCACTTCGACGTCTCCGGGCAGTCGCCATCAAGGCGGCACTCGGCTGTGCATTCCTGAAAAAGAAAGAAATTGGATATTGAATCAAAAAGTAATACATAGATTTTGCCGATTTGGCGATAAATCTACTTCTTCCGGTCCCTTTAAACGTCCATAATCCGCAAAAACTTACATAATTCGAGATGCCACTGACGGCCGGGCAGGCCCCGGGTTTTTCGGAGAATATCTGGTGCAGGAATTCGCAGGATTTCTCGCAGCTCGGCCGATCGGAAGCCTCCTGGAAGGGTTACGGTAATTGCGTCTCATTTTAGGGCATTCAAAACGGGCCAAAAATTACCAAACAGGCGTTACGGTCACATCGGCCGGTATCGGAGAGGGCTTCACGGCAGGGAAGAGTGCACTGGAATTGGGGTGTAACCTAGCAGAGATCATTGAGGAAGCATCGTGGGCTTGGGGTTAGGCTTAGGCCTGGCTTAGACTTGGCTTAGATGCAGCCTTAGGTTTAGCTTAGGCTTAGGCTTAGGCTTAGGCTTAGGCTTAGGCTTAGGTTTGGC